CTAGTAATATTTATTCCATTATGTTGCTATAGATAAAGTAGCAATCCTTGGCTATAAAGAGGAAAATTTATTGTGTTTATTTTTCAAAAGTTCACCTAATATCTCTGTTCATCATCTCCTATTTTCGCAACATAAATACGTGCATTGTTATTTTCATATCAGAAGAATCTACTTGCCCTTAGAACCATATATAAATTCAACTTTATCCGATTTTTCGGGTAAACAGATAGTAATTGATTCTTCTGTTTCTTAAATCTTTCTTTCTCTTTTCTTTTTGGCAAGTATTACCTTTTGACTGTTACATTAACACTAGAGCATTAATGAATATAACAAAGATTCCAGATTATTCTTGTATTATGTTCATGACATTGTGACAGTTAGATAACGATAAAAAGATTTATCTTAAATTCAATTTGGCTTGCTATTAGGTTTCTTGGTACATTTTTTTGGGCGAATTTTTCAATTTGCTTTATTAAATTTTAGGCGAACTCCAACCTATATAATATAACGAAAGTATTGAAATTTAGAATGAATACATAGGATCTTACAAAATTAAGCAATAGTTGGACGCAAACATTCTTGGTAAAATCATTCTATATCCTCATCCTGATGCGTATGCCTAATACAGATTTTTCCCGCCTTTAAACCATTTTCCTTTAAGTTCTTTAACCTAGAATTGTTGATAAATAACCTGCGCACCTTTCTGCTTAAGATGATACATAGTACAAGTTATAATCAAACTCTTCAATGAGATAACAATAAGACTCCTGCTCTCTATCTAATTGCAGTCAGATATACTCCTATCCAAACCAAACTGTAATACATTAACACGCCCCCTCAAGCTGAACATGGATTAATAGAAATGTGAAGCTTGTCACGAAGAACTGAAAGGCGATGAGAAGATAAACCTTTAGTGAGAATGTCTACAAGCTGCATGTCAGTAGAGATATAGCGAACCAAAATAGAACCAGCAGCAACACGTTCTCGAATAAAATAAAAATCAATCTCCAAATGCTTAGCACGAGATGGGATTGGTGCATAGTTATAAAGCACTAACATTGTCACATAGAACCAAAGGAGGATCAGAGAGCGGTATACCCAAGTCACGAAGCAGATGCTGGAGCCATGATAATTCAGTTACCGTGTGAACTAAGGTTAGATATTCAACTTCAATTCTAGAGCGAGAAATAATAGGTTGCTTCTTACAACTCTAAGAAAATAGATTTGGTCCAAGGAAAATAGCAAAGCCTGTTGTATATCTACGAGTATCAGGACATCCAGCCCAACCAGCATCTGAGTATGTCGTGAGAGAGAAGTTTGAGGATGACTTTAGGTGATGGCCAAGAGATATTGTGCCAGTCAAACGAAGGATTCCTTTAAGGGCAATAAGGTGAATGGTACGAGGAGTACTCATGAATTGAGAGACAATATTTACAACAAAAGAAATATAAGGCCTAGTTATAGTTAAATACTGCAAAGCACCCACAAGACTACGATATTTCGAAGGATCAGAAAGTAAATCACCCTCAGAGGCAGATGGTCGAGAACCAGATGTAGGGGAGCCGACAAGTTTGCAACCAAGCAAGGATGCTCGGGCAAGGAGGTCACGAGCATATTTGCTTTGAGATAAATGAAGTCCATTTGATGTTTTTGTAACATGGATACCCAATAAGTAATGAATAGGAGATCATTCATAGAAAATTGAGACTTTAAGATATGAATAAAGCGGTTAAGAAGAGTTAGATTAGTGCATGTAACAATAATATCATCTACATAAAGAAGAAGAATAATATAGTGAGAGTCACGATGAAATACAAATAAGGAAGTATTTGCACGACAATTATGAAAACCATAAGATAGAAGAAAGGAGCTAAATCGAGAAAACCATGTACCTGGAGCTTGTTTAAGTCTATAAAGAGTTTTTTGAACTTTACAAATATGATTAGAAAAATTAGGATCTGCAAAACCTTGAGGTTGAGACATATAAACCTCTTCATTGAGAAAATCATGTAAAACGACTTTTTTAACATCTAACCGCCTAAGATCCCAACCGCGAGATATTGCTAAAGAAATCACTAAATGGATAGTAGAGGGACGAACAACTGGACTAAAAGTTTCACTAAAGTCAATGTTCAAGATACCCATCAGCCTTTTGTTTGACTCGATAAACCCATTTATTTCCAATTACATTCATATGTGGATGGTAGGGTACAAGAATCGAGGTTTGATTTTTAACAAGGGCATTGAATTTTTTTACCATTACCTCACGCCATTTTTGATCTTTAATTGCAGAGGAAAAACAAGTGGGCTCAATGGGAAAAAAACTCTATCTAAGAGGTGTCACGACCCAAAATCCAACTAGCCGTGATGACAGCTAACTCACCCCACTAGGTAAGCCAGTTAACAATAAACCAGTTCAAATGATATTTATTAAGAGAAGAAATGATAAT